CCCAAGGTCGTCCAGCAGGTGCAAGTGGAGGAGTGGGGAATCAAACCCGGTTCTCCCAGATTAGAGTCCGCACACTTAACCACTACACCAGACTGGCTCTCCAAAACATTAGCAGCAGCTGCCCCCACCGCACCAGACTCTTCACAGTCTGACTCATAGAATCATAGAGTTGGAAGGGGCCACACAGAACATCTAGTCCAACCCCCCGCTCTGAGACTCCAAGTGAAGGGCGGGGTATAAATCCAATCTCCTCCTCCTCCTCCTCCTCCTCCTCCTCCTCCTCAACAGACTATAAAGTTTTATTCTCTGCCCACCTGGGGCCCCCCAGCAGACTCTCCTCTTCCTGTCTGCCCAAAGGCCCACTCTTACCTTGGCTTCCTGGTACTCTATGGCTTAGTTGTATTCCGGCTGTTCATTGTCCTCCTCTGGCCAGAGTCATTGGCCTCTCTAGGAACAGACAATAAAGTTTTATTCTCTGCCCACCTGGGGCCCCCCAGCAGACTCTCCTCTTCCTGTCTGCCCAAAGGCCCACTCTTACCTTGGCTTCCTGGTACTCTATGGCTTAGTTGTATTCCGGCTGTTCATTGTCCTCCTCTGGCCAGAGTCATTGGCCTCTCTAGGACCCTTGACGGCTCTTCTCTAGAGAAGTGATTACCCAACTTGCTTGTTCTTTCAACTGTCCTCCTGCTGACCAGCAAAGAGTCCCTTATGTTCTCCGAGTCTGTACAGAGCGCAAATCCAAGAATCATCCTTTGGGGCTGAAAACGTTGGCACTGATCCTAGGGTGAAAGGTACTTCATGGAGAGAAGTTTTAGCCATGGTTAGGTTTCTCAGACCCCACCCAGTGAAAACAGGGGTCCCCCACCGCCAGGTGCAAGCCTATTTCTTGTTTTTTGTCTCAAGTCGTAAGGACTGGATCAACTTGCTGACTGCAACGTACTTTATATTGTTGATCTTAAGTCTTAAGAAGTGGATGTACTTGCTTTATGGACATTTGAAGATCATGTTTTTCAGTCCATTGAAATTGGAATCTGTGAAGGCTTCCTTTTGGGAGTGTCAAAGAGTAAGTGTTAGATATTGCTTTAAATCTCCAGCCTATTTCTTGTATGTCTTGTATTTCATGTATTGAATACTGTTGTATATTTGAGAAATATTTTGGAGCCTTATGTG